CCTTTCCCACCAATTTGCTTTTTCCTTTTTCAAGAAACAGAACAATGATTTTATGATAATTCATGAAATTATAAGATGGGTTGATGTGACTAGAGACCAGCAAATCATCTGGCCGTTTCTTGGGAGGATTCGATTTTATTGTAGATCTACTTTGTTCTGAAAATGCACACTGAAAAGGAATGCTTTGTAGTTTTTGTGAAGTTGTAGATACTGTATACTTGTGTAAACGACAATAACGGTTCTAAAGTCAATCACTAGTTCACTACGACCATCTAGTTCATCAGTACGATCAACATGTCTAATGCAAATGATGTTAGAACGGTAGGATTGCGTATAGATGTTTATAACACAACACGCAGCGAAATCGAGATCAATTCTTGCTATCAAACTCTTTGATCAATGAAATTCGCGAATAAATTGAATGAAAAACTCGTGCTGAAATTTTTCTCAAAAATTTCAACTAAACGATAGAACAACAAGAAACACATTTTTTGTAATTGTATTTTCTCTTTTGATTTTGTATTTTAGCTTTACAAAGTAATTTTCTTCAAGAATTTATGTGACCAGGAAAAGTTTTTCTGCTTCAGGAATAATTCTTTCTTTTGCGGCGCCCTAACACCCTTTTTATATCAACAAATAGGAACGTTTTTCCTATTTAGTTAAATAATGGTTAAGGCGTTGATTTTCTTTTGGAGTACAAGTTTAATTTCTAAAATTAAACTTTATATAATTTTCCTTCTTGAAAACCGAATTCATTCCAAAAGAGAACTGCCGACACGTACTGGACTAACGTTAGTCCAACTCGAAATTGGATCTAACAAATTAGTCATCATTAATATTTATATAAATATCTTATATAAACAAATATTAATTACATGTACTAAATATATATCACATATATATTTTCAAAAGATATAATTTAATTTTCTATTCCAAATTAAAAACTTCAATTTGTTCACAATATTAATTATATCCACTGTGCTAGCAAAGAATATAATAATATTTTATTTGGACTAATAATTTAATTTACTTGACTAATTGAATTCTTTAATTTAATTATCAAACAATTTAATTAATCCTTTAGCAAAGATCAGAACACTCATTAGTGTGCGATCTCATAGGTTCAATACTAAACAGGTATTAAATTGATCATATCAATATACTAATCAAGGGATAGAATAAAATATACAATTTACTCTCAAGAACCAGTAGAAGAATAATGCAGCGATTCCTTTTGTCCTTATAGCTCTGGGTCACCCTAAAATATGATTCAACTGTCAAATCCTAATAGGCGACCGACTATGTGTTCATGTCAAATATAATCGACCATTGAATGATCTAAGAAACTCTTTTCTTCTTTTCATTCAACTGCCCTGGCCAAGGTCTTAGTTTGGTCGTTTATAAATCATGACAATATGGAGCTTAAACTCATTACCAAGTTGACAGATTCTATCTTGATCAATCACTAATTCTACAAGCATTTAATCATACCCAATATCCTTTCAACTATCGCCCTAGGGCCATAGGTGTCCAGTATCAAAGCACAATAAATAACTTGTCAATTACTATGACGATCTTAGGTAAAAGGAAACTCTTGCATCACATTCTTCAAGAAAATATCCTATTGACAGTTTACGGTAATTCTAACCATTAGGAATTATCCAATGAGTCGGTTCAATGATCATATCTCTATATGCATCATCTATTTATGTGATTTAGTTAACGAGAACAACTAATCTTTATCCCATAAAGATCGCATAAATATTAATCTAACCGGATTACTAATGTCCAAATTAATAATTCTATAATGAAGAACAAATTTAGATTAAATTATAAGAAACTTCACTCTCATTATCATGATCTCCATCACAATGTCAAGTCTCAAAATCTAATCAAGGACCTTATCCAGTTAATCAAACAATTAATAATGATTATGATAAAAGAATATCAGATGCCATATATTTTTATATCAAATAACGTTCACAAAATATGTTCAAATCATCAAATATGAGATTGGATCTAGGGCATATCTACTGTATCCCTAACAAAAACTTGAGAATCGCTATTAACTAATCATGTACACACCATTTAATGGAGGTATCTCGACCTAGAGCTACTCTTTTTAATCTTTACTATATTACTCCTAGATTACAAGGAAAGGGAAAAAATGTGACAAGCAAAAATAGAAAAAAAAATGTTACTCCACTTAAGTATTTATAAGTATTTCACCGGTAAGGCATGAAAGGCCAACCAATTAAGATGGATTATAACTGGTTTTACTCAAGTATAGCACTCAATTGATTAAGACGGAACTGAGTACATACTTAACTGTTAACCTTTCCAAACTTGAACATGGAGCTTTAATTAAATCTACAGTTGTATTTAAACACGCGAAAAATTTTGACTGCCAGATTTAAAATCTTCAGTTCTATTTTTCTCTTTTTCTTCTTCACTATTAAGAATGAAACCAAATATGCATTATTATGTATCTAAAATAACTCAAATGTAGTGAGCAAATAATCTCCGACCATCTTATGCTATAGAACGAAAAGTCAATAAAGTTGGAAAACAAAAAGGAGGGCCCCTAAAAATAAAAAGGAACAAAAACAAAATAGATGAATTGACATTTTACCAAAATTTTCATGTCTGGAGTCGAGCTTAATCAAAGGATAGCTGTACACATGCAAGGTATTTTTCACACCTCATCATGCCTGGAGGTTTTTGAATGTATTTAGTTCGTAACGTATCTAGCTCGTCTTAATCATGGATTATCATATTGTATTTTGAGCCGTTGGTTTCACACAAATTGCCAAAATTTGACTAATTGGATTAACACCTCTCCACATACACATGATTGAAGTTGAAATACAGTCCAAGCCTTTGCACTCCCAATTAAAGCTATTACGGGTCCACGAAGATTTAAACAAAGTCGGCATGAAGAATAAAACAACTGCTCAAAGTGGCGGAGATACACTCTTGTATGCCAAGCCAAGAAAATGTTCATCTTTCGGCTAAAAAAAAAAGGTTGATTTTTTCTTCTTTTTTCTTTATATTCAATACCCTATATTACTTGGACTCTTCAAAAATATTGCAGTATCTATCAGATCCTTTAAAATTACACTACTTTTGAAGGATCCAACACACACGTAATACATTTGAGTTCAAGCAACATAGCCACTACATTAATCATTACTCTCTCCGGTCCAATTTAATTAATTTTTTGCTATTTTCACATATATTAAAGAATTCAACTTTTAGCATTGATTAATAATAAAATTGACCATATTAATATTAATTTGTTCATTGAAAATATAACAAATACTCCTAGGTTCTTTACTCCAAGAGCAACTTTAGAAAAAAAGAAGTTAATTTCTTCTTAATATCTGAAAAAATTAAATATTGTAGACCATTAAAAAAAAGGTCAAAAAATTAATTAAAGTGGTCCGAGTGGAGTACTAGGTTTAGTTAAATGGAAGGGAAACACTCAAGAAACCTTATATAGGGGTGTCAATGGATATTTAAAAACCGATTAAACCGACTAAACTGTACCGTACCGAACTGATTTTTAGGTTTTTTTAAATAAAACCGTAGGTTTTAATATAAATCTATAATCGTACTGATAATTAGGGTATATTTTTTATTTTATGAAAATAAACCGAAAAATACCGAATCGTACCGAATAAATTTATAATATAAAAAATATATTTATATATTAAGTTTAAAAATAATAAAGCATTAAATTTTTTCTTGGGCCTTAAAATTATGAAACCGTTATGAGCCAACAAGTAATTAAACTCAAAATCCTAATTCTCAAACCTATTATGCTACTCCTATTGAAACTAAATTATTTCCAAGATATTCACTAGCAAGGCACAAGGTATTGTAGCGATTATGAGTAGCAAATTACAATGTATTGAATACGTTTTCTTTCGTATGATTTAGATTTATCTTTTTGAATATTTAATTTTCTATAGACTTTATTCTTGAGTCCCAGTTTGGCTAATATCTTTCGTATTTGCTTAGTTTCTTTTACGTTGTTATAAAATAGTTGATAAATCTATACTTTAGTCATCTTTCATATTTTCTTAATTCATCACATTTTAAACTGTAAAAATGTGTAGAGAGTTTTGCTAAGTCTTATAAAAGTAGATATGTTATTGCATTCTACTTTTACTCGAGGATTGTCCTTCTTTGATGAAATTCGGTGTCTTAATTGCGGGCGAGTGGAGGCAAACAGAGGAGGAAGTTCAAGCTGATGAACTAGCCGAAGCGGCAGCTCAACAATCGCCGGGCATAGCTCATCTTGGTAACATGGTATTGGGTGCGGTGCTGGCCAAAGAGCCTGCTTTGAAGCATGTTACTCACGGGAAGCATGACATTGTCAAATTGGTTCACTCGACTTTTACATGATATTTAAAAGAAATTACCGAAAAAGTAACCGAACCGTATCGATACGGAAGAGAAACCGACATGATTGGCACGCTTTCGAAAAATCTAATTTTAATTATATATAATAGAATAACCAAAAAATTGATATGATACATATTTTATAAAATAACCGGCCGAATCGAATCATGGACACCCCTACCCTTCTGTCATCCACATGCTCTGTTTGACACTTTGGCTGGTCCTGGATGCCAAATCTGACCTGCAATTTTTTATATTATAAGTTGAACTAAAGTTACAACTTTGATTGTTACGGAGGAAAATACCAATCCTTAGGCCTTGGGCCATGAAAGCAAAAACAAAAGCCTTTTCCATACACAAAGCATCAATCCATGAATTATGATCATCAAAAACACCCCCAAAAGAAAGACTCAGAAAGTGGAGGTATCGTCTCTCTGGAAAGCACCAAACCAAGATTGTCACTTTCCTAATACCATCCACTCTTCTTTTTCTACTTGCTCCTTTGTGTGGTGATAAAGGTTGGCTGGTCCCATGACACCGACAACATAATCGAATCCAAGCCATTTTTATAACAAAAGGAACCCATACCAATGAATGAGGGCGAATAAAACAGTGTTATTATAATTAGAGACAAAAGAATACAAAACACCCTGTAGTCCTACAATATAATACCAAATCATATGCTAATGCCTGTCTCTGTTGTTTCTATACCCTCTCTATTTCTATTTCAAAGTAAAAAAGAAAATTTTATCATACAGAAATGAACGAGAGAAGAATATATAGTTCTAACCAAAAGAAAATTAAAAGTAATAACACATGTAAAATGAAAGAAAGCAGCGGCAATGTTGACCTCTCATTGCCGCGTTCTTTGTAATGTAGAGCCGATCATCTTGAGTTCGAATCTCTTTACAGTTGCAGCAATATCCCTCATTGTGGTATCCACAATATAAGGGGTACCGTCAACCGTGATCGACGTGGCGTTGACCAGCTGTCGGCATGGCTCCCGGCGCTCTGCAATGGTCCCGTGATAGTGGAAATACTTGATACGCCCTTCTGTCTTGTGTGTTGTCTTGCCTACTGTGTTCTGAGACATATGCACACCAGTGGCTATTACATTGCGAGGTTGCACTGCATATTTCCGATCCCTCCTAATTCCCCTCTTCACATCCTTGTACACTAGCTTCTCGAACCCCCATTTTCTGCAGTCACATTACCATTCAGTCGTCAATTTAAGCGTTTCCTCTCAAAATTTTGAGACACGTAGATGACTTTCTGTAAAATATATAAAGCAAAGACGATCTCGAGTCGACTATGTTGGAACAGTATCAGAATGCAGGCAATACCATCGAACAAAAAACACAATCTAACAGATTCGCAAATCATTTTCTTTTCTCAAACCTCCCGGATTATGATAATCTAGCTTACCATAGAAGAACAGAAGAAGAAACAGTGGTTTAAACTTTCAATCACTATCAGAGGAGCCTCAGAGTCAACTCATTACTTAAAAAAATGCTCAGGTTCAACTACGTAATGACCCCTATTATAGGAAAATCAACTCTAATTGGTAATGAGCACTGAACATCTAAAATTTCTTCAGGGCAACAAATTTGGTCAAGTTTTCAATTCCAAACACCATGGACAAACACATCCGATCCAGCCAAAACAGGTTCATCGAAGGAAATAGAGTATGGACAATTTAAGACAGCTTAACTTCCACTAGGATAATACAACAAGGAGTTAATATTTTAAGTCATTATCACAAGACTAAATACCTACTTGTGAACAGTCTAATAATCCATCAAAGCATCTCAATTATCCACCACCACAAGACATCAATAAGTAGAGTTCAAAACCACCAGACGACATAATATTATCAGAATATCTAACCATCCCCTAATCATACCATTTCAGAACTTGGAAACAAACTCAAAAGAAGTTAATGAAAATGCCTAGTATGAATGTAAGCTATAAAACATGTAACTGTTCCTGCCAGGCTAGTCCAATCCGGCATGAAGCTTACTTGAACTATGCCACATAAAAATCACATCACAAACAATCCAACCCCGTTAATTTCAGTGCTAATCAAATACTCACAAATACAAAAATATCAAAACTAAGGGAGGATAGAAGGGAAAAGAACCTTCCCTCAGAACATTTTAGATACTCTGAAACAGAGGAAATAACTACTATCTAACATGTTTGGTATTGTTTAATATCCAAAAGAGAGACGAAATTTTTTACTTAACACCAAATTGGGATGGTTGATTTATTTTAAGCACCAAATTTCTAATGCAACATGGGTCAATGGAAAGTTAGCATTGCGAATGTTTGCTGATAAATATACTAACCAAATTTGAGTTTCTAATGCTATTAAACATAAAACGTTCTTAATAAAATGCCAAAAGGAAATGTAAGAAATTAACAAGTTATACCTGTAGGATTTACCGCGGTCCTCAGAGAGACAAAGCTTGTTCGACATAGGCATCTGCTCAATGGTGAATTGCGTATAATCCGCTAACGAATCAACCACAGACTTAATAGTACTCTTTTTAGGCACAAAAATGAACTCATCCACATCAAAGAAGAACATCCATTTGGCTTGAAACTTATACCTATGCAAACAATCATTCACAATAAGGAACTGATTATGATAATATCCATCAAATCTCTCTTGATCCCTTATATCCTGTAATGTCACGTATCCTTTATCCATCCATGGCTTTAACACCTCCATTACCCCCTCGTGTACACCCCCAGCATCGTGAATTACGAAATGAGATTTTTCACCGAACAGCCTCACGTGAAAAGCTAACCACTCTCGTACTCTCTGCGGGCTCAAGTTCCCGTACAGTGACGAACCACAATATAGAAAATCATATTTAGGTGGGCTTTTGAATGTTGAAGTAAAGTTAATAAAATCCTCTCCCGTTTCCGTTAAGGCTTCAAAAGTGTCGGTGGTGTTTAATTTAGTATCGCCGCCGCCGTTGGTTGCGGCGTGAATGAGGAGTTTTCCACCGTCGTCGCCGACGGGGACGGGGAAAGTGCAGTTGATGACTAGGACAGTGTAAACCCTGCCGTAGCCCCAGTCAGGGAGGATTTTGTGACCGGTGACAGAGATGGAGTTATGGTTTTTATTAAATGGGACCCACTCGCATAGGTAGCTGGGTTTGCCATATACGTGGAGAGGCTTTGAAGCTAAACCCATTACGGCAAAAGTGTTATAACCTCCTCTGTAAGCAGACATTAGAATGAAGTTGTAGGCAGCCGAGCCAAATGGGTTGAAAGCTCTCTTAACGACGCCATTTTCAAGCAGTCGGTCTTTGTCCAAGGACGACGGAGGTGGAGGTGGAGGTGGTAAAGCAGAGGAATTAGTAGCGTTGAAGTGGGAAAGAGAGTGATCAACTGGAGTAGAAAGACATGAGTTGGCAAGATCGGAAGGGGAGAAATAAAAGCGAGAAGGGAGGAAGTGAAGAAGGGTGATGAGAGAACAGAGAAAGAGAAGAGCAGTGAGGAGGAATTTGAGCTCAGCAGCACAATTCCAAACCACACCAACGAACATCTTCCGCTCTTTCTCTTTAGTACTCATAATAATAACTCCTCGGCTCCAACTTTGGTTTTGCAAAAACAGAGAGATTAGGACCAGTAGACGAAACGAAAGAGCGGTAGAGAGAGATAAGGCCGGAGAAGCAATAGAAAAGAGAAGCAGGGTATTCTAGTTCTAGAGTATATCTAGATGTCTCTTCTACAAATGTAAAACCCCTTCTGTTTCTGCTTTTTTCCAGTACTCTCGTCTCTCTCTCTCTCTCTGTTAAAAAATCTGCATTTAGAAATTCATTTGAAGCATTTGTGAGAATGGGAGGTGATTCTCTTCTTATATTCAATTACAGAGGAGGAGGAGGAGGAGGTTGATATGCCCCAGGCTTTTTTGAGATTTGATTATGATAAGGATTGATGTTACTATATTAACGGGGTAATAAAAGTTGGGGCCTAAATAATAGGTACCTGATGTGTTGTAATAAATCAGGAAGAGTGATTTATTAAAGACTAATTGCGAAGTTGGTGGTCTAATACTCTAATTCCCCCGTAAATGCAAATGGGTGCAATTTATTTAATTATGAAAAGATTGATTAAATTTGGGACAATAAAATAAAGTTACAAGTTCGAACCATGAAAATATACTTGATTAAAAATAAGTAATTGTATCTTTTTCGAAACCCCGCATATAATCAAGAGAGAAAGAGTGATTTATTAAGACTAATTGGGACGGTGGTGGGTCTAAATCCCGTAAAATAAGCAAAAGGGAAAGTCCTAGAGTGCTCTAATTTAAGTATCCTGTTCGAACTCTCTCTCTCTCTTTTCTCTCAATTTTAATTTAAATTTAATTTAATTACCTTTATTAAGACTCCTTTTTGAATTTTTTACTTTTCCTGAGACTCCTTTTGAATTATTTACTTTTCCCAAGACTCCTCTAGTTATATTATATTTCGCTCTTAATCAAATTGCTAAGATCTAGTATTACTTTCACTCACTCATTCATTTTATGGTTAACGGTGTTATTCACCAAAATATTAGAAAGGTGAGCTAGTGCATGTCCCCCACACAATAAACACATAAATTATGCACCGTGATAGCTCTGAATAGGAACCTAATTAAGGCGTCTAACTTTTGAATGTAACTACTCGTGTCATTATCAGCTTTTGTTTCTTTGCAGTACTATAATTTTTTTCCCATCAAAATAAGAGGAATAAATAAAAGAGAAAGAATTTTGTCATAAAAAAATGAAAACAAAGTAGTATTTAGGAAATAGTTGAAGGAATCAAAAGCAAACTGGAAAACAAAAGTAACAGGTAGAAGGTGTACGCATAGTCTGAATTGGAGGCTAGAGAGGAGGAGGCGGCTGTCTTCGCGGAGTGCTGCCTAGGATTTATTAATAATGCGGGAATTATTTTTTCTAATTTCTTCAATCAAATGTTGTATTTATTGTTTTTATGCGTTAGTTTATGCTCGATTATTTTGTTCATTAAACAATCCCATTTTTACAATATAGATTTAATTATTTTGTAATATTAGTTATAATAGTGTTTACCCAAAAAATTGGATAGAATTAAATTTGTGTATGGTTCTAAAGATATGTGATATAATTTGATACAAATTGTATAGAGAAATAGAAATACATGTATTCTTGACTATGAGAATGAGAATAGTGAGAAGAAGAACGAATAAGATAAAGGGAAATAAACACAACGGGATATCTTTCAATATGAGAAGAAAATATTTTGTTATAATGTGTGAACCTCTCATGTGCTTACAATGATTCCCCCCTTTATAGTAGAGGAATCTTACTTTATTTATAATAAAAAATATATAGTGGAGAACCCATGATTAATTGTCTTTTCCTCGATTCCTGCCAAGATTCTCTCCNGTATACAGATAGTCCCCTCGTTTTTCAGGAAGAACGTGGTGAGAAGCGATATGATTTTCGACGGCTCGATCGGATTATAAGCTAACGTTTTCACTGGGCTCGATCATGACGTACGTGATAGCTGTCCCGTCGATTTAGTATTTCAAGGTATTTAATGCACGTCAGACGGTGGTCGGCCACCGCTGATACTGAACCACCACGGTATAAACCTATAAATAACCCTTCCATTTACCACTTTTACATCTTCAATCTCCTAAAATTTCTTACTCTTTCTGCCTCTATTCCACCGCTTGTAGAGCCACCTTCATCAGCGTTTGGCACCATCAACCTTTCATCTTCCTTTGCTTTTCTTTCTCTTACATCAATGGTAAAAACTTCAAAAATCGTACCTCAGAAGGAGAAAACTTCCTCTTCACGGTCGTCCGGCGACAAGGCGCCGGTGGAGCCACCTCCCCACGCGTATGTTCCTGGCTCGTGTACTCTGAAGATCGATTTTAAGGTTGAAAATCCTTCGTCGGTTCCGGGTCGATGTGAGCATGTGTCGATGTATATGTGCTCGATAACAGAGGGCCATCTCGAGGCCGTGAGGAAAGACTGCAACTGGGGTCCCGAGGTTGTGTTGCAAATTCCCTCTCCCGAAGAGAGCGTCATCACTCGTGTGGAGGGTTTTTTAAGTATTTATACTTACCCCTTCACGTTGGATCCCGTCGACCTAGTGATCATTGATTTTTGCAAAAGATATCAGGTCACCCTCGGTCAAATTCGTCCTTCTCTATGGCGTATAGTAACCTTACTTCGCTTCTTCTCCAACAAGGTCAGGGGGCTGGATTTCACCCTAAATCACCCTATACGATTGTATCGGCCTCAAATCTTTCAAGAACTAATCAGGCTTCATCGTAAGGCATCGAAAGCTTTAATGTCGAGCATCGATGAAGATAAGGATCGGGGTTGGATGGGTCGTTATATTCGGGTGAGGACCATTGACCTCATCCTAGAAGAGAAGATGTCGTTCCCCGAGGAATGAAATTTCGACCGTAAGTGATTTTCATAAGGCGTTGCTTTTCGTATCTTTCTCTGATTCTATCTGATATCTTTCTCTGATATACAACTGCCCCTTTGATGCCACAAGCGGTACTCGACCTCGAGAATTGGGTTTGGAAGCTAGCCTCGACTTTTTCTTATGCCGAAAGCGCTTGGTGTGATTTGGCAAAAGGTAGATGGGAGGCCAAGAATCACGGTAAGGGTCACTTCTCATGTTTTTCAAAATATTTTTTATGCTCCATTCGTTACCGACTTCCTTCGTGCAGGTGTAACCAAGGATGCCGTTTTGAGGCCTTCGAGCGGTGAGTAAGGAACCAACTCCCCGGTCCCGGAACCGGGGAAAGATAAAAAGTGAAAAGTTATCTCTCGGTCAGAGGACCCCAAGCCCAAAACTCGAAGGGTGAGGAGGAAGGCAATCGCTCTTTCGATGGACTCGGTCCAACGACTGAGAGAAGAAGAAGTAGAATATGATGATGATGCTTCAGCTTTGGTGATTCGATTTGTGAAAGCTATCGAGGTCTCCAGACCTTCTGAGCCGATGACGGCTATACCGGTCAGGGTCAGTTTCGATACCCCGAGTCTCGATCAGAGCATCCCAAGCGATTCGCTCGAGACTATGATAGTGGGTCATTTGCCTTCTCTTCCGACCTTTTCTGAGGAGGCGTTAAAGGAAGCTCGAGAATTGAAGACCCCCGATATGGGCGGAGGCTTTAGTGTAGGGGACCCTTTTTGGGATTGCTTTTCTGTAGTGGATGATGCCTCCGATATTAGTGACGCTTCTCTTCTCCTAGAAGGGCCCAACATTTCATTTCTCTGGTAATGATTTTACTGTGCTTGGTTTCTTCGTTCTTTTCTAAACTTGACTTGTGTTTTTTCCCTACTGTGCAGGCCATTAGCAAGTTTCGAGTCGACCTCAACCAGTGTGAGGTCGAGCTTCAGAAGGTCTCAGGGGAGAGAGATGCTCTGCGGCTTCTTTGCAGCCAAAAGAACGAGGTTATAAAGGACCTCCAAGCAGATTTGGCTAAGGCTCGTGAAGAAGAGGCCGAACTAGATAAGCAGGTGAGCCTTGTTCTGTTAGAGTACGGTTTTGACCCAACTGTGGAAGCCAACCCTTCGTTATCTCCGCTGCAGTAAAAGGTTGAAAAGATCGGGTTGCTTCTGGAAGAAGTCGATCAAATCAAGGCTGAATGTGACCGGTGGAAGGAGACTATTGACCGCCTGGCTGCAGAAAAAGAAACCATCTTGGCCAAATTATTATCGGCTGATGTTCAGCTTTGAAGCGTCAAGCAAAAAGGTTCGGCTGAGGCCAAGGTGGAGATTGAGTCGTCGAAAGTCATGGCAGACAAGTCCATTGCCGTGTATCGGGCCGATGCCGAGGCTACTCAAATGGAGGCAAGAGAGGCAGCAGATACTACCGACACTCGAGCACATTGGGTTGCCGAACTTGCTAAGTGTCGGTCTCGGAGGGAGACCCTCGAGGAGATACACGCTCGAGGTTTCGACCTTGCTGAAGAGATAAAAAGGGCTAAAGAACTTGAAGCTAATGCAGAAGCCTTGGCTTCTGATGGCGATGATGATGATGGTAGCAAGAATGGGTCCGAAAATGGGGGGAGCCCGGTGAAGAAGAGACCGCTCTCGATGATAACCTAGAAGCTTAGCCCTTAGCTTCTTCTATGTTGCATTTATTTATGTAAACCATCTTTGTATATCTATACAAATATCTTTTTCTTTTACTGACTTGCTTTGTGAAGATTTCATTCATGCCTTGCAGATGTTTTCATGAGGATTTAGGTGATTTCATCGAATTCGGCCTTCGTAGCCTTTATGGCCAAGTGAGTGTTTGCTCGAGCTCGAAATAAGATAGCCCTTAGGCTTTGATAATTGAGTGAGTGATTGTTTCGAACTCGAACTCAAAGTATATTAGCCCGCAGACTTTTATGATCGAGTGAGTGATTGCTCGAACTCGAAGTAAGATAGCCCTTAGGCTTCAATAATTGAGTGAGTGATT